CATCTACTCTCTCCTCTAACTCTCCACCGATCCTCCATCCTCTTCTCTTCTCTGCTCTCATCTCATCTCTCCTCTACGTCTCCTACTCGCTCTCTCTCCTCTCTCTCTCCTTCTCTCGTCCTCTCTCTCCTCTCTCTCTCTCTCTCTCTCTCTCTCTCTCCTCTTCTCTCTCTCTCTCCCATTCTCTCCCATCTCTCCCATCTCTCTCATCTTCTCTCACTCTCTCTCTCTCTCTCTCTCTTCTCTCTTTCTCCATCTCTCTCTCGTCTCTCATCTCTCTCTCTCTCTCTCTCTCTCTCTCTCCTCTGCTCTCTCTCTCGCTCTCTCTCTCTCTCCTCTCTCTACTCCTCTCTCTCATACGTCTTCTCTCTCTCTACTACTCTCTCTCTCTCTCTCTCTATCTCTCTCTCTCTCTCTCTCTCTCTCTCTCTCTCTCTCTCTCTCTCTCTCATCTCTCTGCTCACTCTCTCTATCTCTCTTTTCTTCTCTTTCTCCTCTACTCTCCTCTCATCATCTCTCTGCTCCCATCATCTCTATCTCTCTCATCTTCTCTTCTCATCTCTCTCTCTCATCTCTCTCTCTCATGTCTCTCTCTCTCCCTCTCTCTCTCTCATCATCTCTCTCTCTCATCACTTCTCATCTCTCTCTTCATGCTCTCCTTCTCTCTCTCTCTCTCTCATCGTCTCTCTCTTCTCTCTCTCTCTCTGGCTCATCTCTCCACTACTCTCTCTCTCTCTCTCATCTCTCTCTCTATCTCTTCTCTCTCTATCTCCATCTCTCTCGCCTCTCTCTCATCTCTCTATCTCTCATTCATCTCTCTCGTCATCTCTCTATCTCTCCTATCGTCTCTATTCTCTCATATCTCTTCTCTCTCTCTCTCTCTCCTCTCTCTCCCTCTCTCTCTCTCTCTCTTCTTCTCATCTCTCTCTCTCTCTCTCTCTTGCATGCCTCTCTCTCTCATCTCTCTCTCTCTCTTCTCATTGCCTGCTCGCTAACTATCTCTCTGCTCTCTCTCTCCCACTCTCGTCTCGTCTGCTCTCATGCTCTCTCTTCTCTCTGGCTCTCTCTCTCTCTCTCCCATTCTCCATCTCTCTCATTCTCTTCCACTCTCCCCTCTCTCTCCTCTCCTCTCTCTCTCTTCTCTCTCTCTCTCTCTCATCTCCTCTCTTCTCTTTCTCTCTCTCCCTCTCTCTCTCTGCAGTGCGCTGCTGTGCGTAGCGTGCGTTGCGTATTGTCGGGATATCCAGACGGCCTTGGTTAAGACGGAGGAGTACCAAGCAGGGTATGATAGGACGGTTGGTTGCGAGCGGGGAGCGGTGGCCGGGCGGGTGGGGGCAGACGGACGATCGGGTGGGTAGGCTAGCGGGCAGGAGGGCAGGTGGACAGGCGGTCCGTGTTTAAAGGTTACACGCCGAAACTGCCACAAACAGCCCCGATGAGTGTACGTGTTGTGCACATAGTAGAACCGGTAACGAAACTAAAAAAAGAAGCTTGAATCAATACGGTTCGGAGGTCGAGCAGTGTGGAATACTGCAGAATTTTATTAGCTGGTCTCGCAACAATCACGGGAGAAAATCTTTGACCAGCGATGGATGCTCGAGGCGTGTGGCTGCGGAAATAAGCAAGCGCAGACTTCTTCAACAAGGGAAAATACAGCAGCAGTAGCAGGAGAAGCGGCGGCAGCAGCAGAAATAGCAGCAGCAGCAGCAGCAGCAGCAGCAGCAGCAGCAGTGGCAGTAATAGCGGCAGCATCAGCAGCAACAGTGGTAATAGCAGCAGCAGCAACGGCGGCGGTAGTAGCAGTAGTAGTATCAACAGCAGCAACATCTACATGCTGGGATGGTCATGCTGAATTGCTAATGTCTGCATATAGCGTATTCACCGTGTCACAGCTGTAGCTAGTGGTGACGCTTGCAGGCGCGCCGTCAGACGTCACACACAAACGCACACACAAACGCACGCACACACGCACTCACGCATACATGCATGTACGTTTTCGCGCGCGTACACACGCACGCACACACGCACACGCACGCACGCTCTCACCTGAGCGGGCACACACGAAATAAACTTCACCGAGCTGCTACTATCGTGGGGGTGATGTAGGAATGGCCGGCCCTTCACACACAGTTTTGGCTGCAATGTTTGTCTTCGTCACCCACCTAGAACAGGCGCGCAGGCGGGCAGGCGGGGGAGTGTTACCCATGGGGGGAGGGGGAGTGATACTCATGGGGGGAGGTGGAGTGTTGCTCACGGGGACGAGTGGATAGTGTGGCCTACGGAAGTGGAGTGTGAAGCCCACAAGGCGAGTAGAAAGTGTGGCCCAGGGGGGGGGGAGCGGAGATGCGAGCAAACTGCATGTGTTTTCGCACGGCATCTGGGTCCCGCTCGGAGCGTTTTACGGCCGGCGGCGCGCGTTGTTACTTCTAGCACGAAAAATTGTTTGTTGAATCGCGGCGCAGTGTTCTGCTCGCATGCTGCGGGGGAGCGGCCGGCATTTCCGCCACCCACAGCGACGTGGGAGGGTTGTCAACATTACTGTACATACAGTAGAAGCAAGGCTCCCCCTTACCCGTGGGCGGTTGTTAATTCTTTTAGAGGAGGGAGAATGAGTAGACAGAATTAAATGAGCTCAATCATGGGCTGCTGCTGATGTTAAGTACGATTCTAGAAGCCCGAAACTATTGTGTATCTTCAAATAGTGTCTACGCGTATTATTGAGACACCCACCCTTCCCTTTTAATTCTAACCACCGCTTCCCCGCTCTCTACATTCCACCTACCGTTCTTTACTCTTTCCAATGATTAGCCCTGCACCGATTTAAAGACCGAAAACTTTGAGCCTTCTATCGAAAAATCGGTGTTACCAATCGGTTATAACGGTTTTATTTCTTGCAGCCAAACCGATTGTGAACTCGATCAAACAGCTGCGACTGCAGAGAGAGGACTTTGAGGTGCAGAAGGTGATAGGACGCGGTGCTTTTGGAGAGGTAAGCAGTGTGGAAGAGAGATTAGTCACATACACCAGCAGAGAGGGTGCTGTGCCAAAGGCTCGTCACATGCGGGGGTAGTGGAGAAGATAGAATAGACTGGTCACAAGCGATAAGGTGCTGCGACAAAGGCGTGTATGTGTGCATGCTTGCGCTCGGTGTGTGTGTGCGTGCGTGTGTGTGTGTGTGTGAGCATGTGTGCATATGCATGTGTGTGTGCGTGCGTGCGCGGTGGGTGTGCGTGTGTGTGCACGCGTGCGTGTGCGCGTGTGTGTGCGTGCGTGCGTGCGTACGTGCGTGTGTGAAGCACTCACCTACCCGTTTGTTTTCGCGCGTGCGTAGGTGGCGGTCGTGAAGCAGAAAGCGACGGGAAAGGTCTACGCGATGAAGATCCTCAACAAGTGGGAGATGCTGAAGCGCGCGGAGGTAAGTCCCTCGCTCGCTCTCTCGCAGACAGACAGCGTCGAACATGCGGTGACGACGCCCACTGCTGACACCCCTGCTAGTCCCAGAGCAAGACCCACCCTGTTCAGAGCATGCGGGTGACCCTGACTGACTGCCCGGGCGGCTGCATGACCCCCTTCGAATGACTGACCGTGTGACCCGTGTCACGCCATCGGGATGTCTCTCTAGCGAGTGGATGTCGACCTGTGTGACCTCGTGTCACCTACTGACCTCTGTGCGGCTGGGGGGGAGTGTAAGGTTCCGAGGGACTTGCCGCGTAGGAAGTGACCCTGGGGAGCGTGTCCGGGCGGTCGCATCGCGGCTCAGCGTGGGCGAGCCGACAAACAATAGAACGTCGGGGCGGCGCGGCGAGGACGAAGCGCGAGCAAACAACACGACCGGTCATCGGTTGAATCCTCACCCCTCCTCCCCATGCCTGTCCTTCTCCCCCTCCCCCTGCTGGTCCTCTTCCCCCTCTCCCTGCCCGTCCTCCTCCCCCTCTCCCTGCCCGTCCTCCTCCCCCTCTCCCTGCCCGTCCTCCTCCCCCTCTCCCTGCCCGTCCTTCTCACCCTCTCCCCGCGCGTGAGAGACCCTTCTTCCTACCGCTGAGTGGCAGCGCAAATATTATTTCGTCTTCTCATACATCTACAGCTTCATTCACCCCTCATACATATACAGCTTCATTCCCCCTCTTACATCTACAGCTTCTGATCTGTGCTGTCCATGTGCATTGTGCATGTGCCTCTGTCACACATTAGGCTTAGCGATACTCATCCATGCACTGCTTCTTAGTCCTTATCCATGCGCAGCATCGCACCCTCATACATTCCAGAAGCCTCCTCATTCTCACACATGTGGCTTCCTCTTTCTCCCTTATGTGGAATGCTTCTCCCCCAAGCCTCTTATGTGCCTTCGAGCCTAATTAAGTGTTTCCAGAGAGTCAACTGCACTGATCAGTCCACTGTGCTGCTGCACATTTCTGGGTGGTCACTGCTGGTCACTAAAATCGGCCTGCCGTGCACGTGTTTGTGTTTGTGTGCGCGTGTGTGTGATCATATCAGCAAAAGTACCAGGGCTGGGACCGTAACCCTCTGTACAACGTCACACCCCTCTCTAGTTTAACGGTTAGGCCAAAACAAAACATGTGTGGTTACCGTTACATGCCGAAAGAAAATAGTGTAGGCAGGTAGAGAAAACATTTTATTTTCTTGAAATATTTTATTTACGAACCATGTCCGAAGGATGTGCGTTGTGCCTTTTGAAGCAGGAACTGTCCAATTCATATTATTTTTTATTTTATTTTTTACTTTTTATTTATTTTTTTGACTTTAAAGAAAATGGACAATAAAATGTTTAGGGTCGCTGGGAATAAATAGGGTCGGTCGGGAAACCGTAACCACACCTATATTTTGTTTTGGCCTTAGTCGTTCATGAGTGATCCTATCTCTTGCGCGTTGCTAAGATCTGCATCTGCCGAGTGGTATTCTGTTCCCGCATCCCTCTTCCCGCGGTGACTAGTGTTGAATCCCTGCTGAAAAGGACTCCTTCCCCCGGAATGGAACGTTCAAGCGAAATTAGCTTGCCGAGCTGTGTAGCTAACTCTCGTCCACACAGAATATCAACTCGCATTTGCTTGCAAAATTTGTTTTATTTTCGTAGAACAAATTCGAACGGGCCAGCAGGGAAATTTCCGACGCGAGTGTTTTAGGATGCGCATGAGATGATGTCAGATGGATGGAGAGTGGAGAGAGGTGCACAGGCAGAGGGAGAGTGTTACCCACGGGGGAGGGCGAGTGTGGTCCATAAGGAGGGGGAGTGTGGCCCGCGTAGGGGGGTGGGGGGTTGGGGGGGGTAGGGATATGGGGAGTTACCCACTGGGGGAGTGGTTACCCGACGGGGGGAGGGGGAAGTGTTACCC